CTGCGTTCCCTTTTGCGCGATCGTGACCCCGTTTCTTCGATGACCGACACTCCGTGGCTGCTTGGCCGCCATTAGAGGAGCCGAGAGCAGGGGAGAGAGAAAGAGAAACGAGAGCAACCGAGGCGAAACGAAGACGATCGTAGTCTCCCGTCACGAGCTCCCTGTCTACGTTCACATATACAGGCGTTTATCGCACATATACGTACACACAGAGAAACGGCCTCTGACGATATATGTGTTCGTGCAGCGTGCTGTTGCGTAGAGGAAGAAGGACACGAGGAAAAGCAGCGCGGCCAAGCGAGACGGACGATGCGTGAGAGCTCGGGGACCATGGACTCTTGACAGTGAATCGATTCTCTCGCGCTGCCCTGACCTCGTATTCCTTGCCGCAATTTCGGTCGACGAACGAATTATCGAGGTCAACGACTAGCGTAGTAGTTTCGTACCTCGTGTAAACAGAGTGTATTGCACGCCGTCGCGAAAGGAAAAATCTGAGGAAATAATCGAACGTTAAACGAGACCACGTAGTTATACGTGAACAATAAAGCCGCTGTGTGCGTGCGACACGGCACAGTGGCCGAGATTTTTTTCCCAACGGAAGTGACGACGAAAATTGAGACGGTGGAGTCGAAGGAACAGCAAACGGTGGTCCTGAAGGTGGAGCAGGCTGACGAGATGCTGCAGACGGTGCCTCGTGTGCCTGTCGCAGGGATTAAGCGACGATGGGGTAACAGGCACACCGGAAGTCTGCAGGAGTCGAGTCCAGAAGTTTCAAGCAGCGGCGTGTTATCGCCACCGCCGAATTTTCAACCCTCCACGCCGGAAAGTGCGGTTGTGAAGAGCGAAGAACTCCAGCTGTGGGATTTAGACCTTCATCGGGGTCTACAAACGAATGGGGATCATTATCGGGCTACCATCACCGCTACAACTAATACTACAGTGTTGCCAACGGTCACCGATCCTGCCTCACCATTCACCACCCCCATCGAAGGTTTGTGTATTGGTGACTTTTCTCTCCATCGTGTATCGTTTATCGCGTTACGTAAGCGAATCGTTGATACTTGCACTTGAATTGTCGCGTATCAGGATGCTTTTGCCAATGTCATTCTTTTTTTAAACAAAAATTATATGATTTTCCTTTCTTGCTATTTAGATTTTTAAATTACGAAATGAATCTTTATAGAAATTTTGATGGATACTATTTTTTCTGATCATATTTTTAAAGGATTTTTTATTCAAGAGAAAATCTAGCGAATTTAAATATAATATAATAAATTTAAAGACTATTTTTCATTTGGAAAACTTTTAATTGGCTAGAAAAGAAAAAAAAAATGTTTTATTTAGTAAACCCGCAAATATTAATTTATGCTTTTATAATTAACAATATTATCTTTTATTTCTTGTATGAAGTCGAATAGAAAAGGAAAAAAAAGAAAAAAAATGAATGAATTTTAATTTTAATGCAACTTTTCTCTACTTCGATGTTTTTATTTATTCACATAATCTTTTCATATTATAATGGAATAATCATTTTTGCTTTTAATTCCAATTTAATTTAAAATTATAATCAATTATAACTCAATTATAAAATTTTTTTTTTAATTAATTCTATTTCTTGAAAAACTTAAAACAATTGAAGTAAAATGTGCTTGAGGGATCGAAAGTCGAAGAGTTGACCGCCTCTGCCAGCCAATAAACGTCCTTTAAAGGTGATCGACCTACACACGTTAGCTCGGTGTTTCGTTAGAAAGCGACGAAACTGGTGTTGTTGTTTTCTTTTTCTTTTTTTCTCTCTCGAAATACCAGGCGTGCCTATTTTTACCTGGTTTTCTTTTTCTTTAGCGGGAAATCGTGTCGAGGCCGATCGAACCGGATCAAAAGCGAGAAACAACGTCCTCATAGGACCCCGTAACGGCATTCGTCATCGATTGCGCCATGTTGCACCATACCTGGCGCCGATTGCACAATTCCACCATCTTTGTGGTGTATCCGTTTTTTTTTTTTTTTATTTCTTTACCAAAATTTTTTTATTTGTTCGCTTCCTTTTTAATTTCTCATTTCCGCGTTTTATTTCCCCCCCCCGTTATCACTGTGTTACGACTTGCCTATTGCAATCCACAAACTTCCTGAAACTTGTGTTTGTTTTGTTGAATGATTGTCTACTTTGCCAATGATCAATTTTTTTTTTTTTTTTTCGCTTCTTTTTTAATTTTTCTTTTCCGCGTTTTATTTCCCCCCCCCCCGTTATCACTGTGTTACGACTTGCATATTGCAATCCACAAACTTCCTGAAACTTGTGTTTGTTTTGTTGAATGATTGTCTACTTTGCAAATGATCAATTTTTTTTTATATTATGAGAAATTCTCAAGTAAAAATTTTATAGTTTTGTCCATGCCAAAGAATTTTTCTACATATATATAAATAATTCTAGTATATATAGTACATTTATAATGCTTTGATAATTTGAATTAAAATTTTTTTTAGTTTTTTTATGAATTAAAAAGATTCAATTTTTAATTTTACAATTTTTACTTTACATGTAGTGATACATATAGTGATACGATTGTGATCTTCAGATGATCTTGATTGACGACAAGTTCTTATAGATTATCTGAGTTTGTTTGATAGTAATAATTATTATATAAAAATAATGAAATATTTACTTGATCAATACTTAAAAATTTTGAAACTGGAAAAATGATCTCATAACTATCGATAATTAAAAACATTCTATGAAGAATGATCAATCTTTTGAACCAAGCGACGTAAAGGTTTACCTTGTACAAGATTAATTAAGATCGCACGAAACGTATTAAAATTATTTCCTAGAATGTTTAATTATCGATTTCCGTAACTTCGTAATTTAATTATCGTAGATCATTGCATCCAAGACATGACGTACACGATGACGCATTTTATATATACGTAACTCTCTGTCGTTTGTTCTGTCAGTTCAGAAACTTAGTAGTTCTCTTATTTTATCACAATGAGTCAACATCCTCTAATTAAGTCTAGTAGTTAATTTATATTTATTCGATTAATGGAACGAGATTTTAAAAGGTCTAAATTAAATTATGATCAATAGTTCATTATTATTTATTTTTTTTTATTTTTAAAATGACAAAAATATCGAAAAATGTATAAATATCTCGTTGTCTTAAAAATTTTATGAAAAATTAATTCAAAGTATAATCCATAAATTCTTGGATTTAATTATCATAGCGTCAACAGGATAAATTTCTTTGAATAAAATTCTCATTGGACTCGGTTCAAACGTGGAAATTCTAATTCATAACAAATGCAATCTTTAACTCGAATAATAATTTTTCAATGATGAAATCCTAATGTATCGAAAACTCGATAAAATTCTCGAATAAACGAGAGTGAACACCTTCCCTTCCTTCTCGATGTTTCGTCTCATCATTTTCATTCTCGTACTCTCTTCACGGGTTTATTGCATCGTGTGACGTGTGTCCACCGCTGGTATGTATATATCAGCTTTAAATAACACGTTGTGTCACGTATATGTCAGTGCTCTGCTCGCGGTGGGACCATTGTGTTTTCGTTTGCAGTCGCGGTACCGATGACCCGGAAACTAGGTCACGGTCCTTCGGTTTTTCCTCCTGCGAATGATTCATCACAAACAGGTTATTCTTCTTATCTTGTAACATTTTTTTTTTTTTTGTCTTTATATAAGATCTCGCGCAGAAAAATTTTATAAAAAAATTTCTTACTCTGTATCGATGTTCTATTATTATAAGTTCTAGGGAATTATTTATCGCGTATTGACGCTCTATTGGGAATTCTAGGGAATTTTTTCTTTTAATCTAGAAAACATAACGTAGTTAAACTATGCTATTAGCTATACAATAGCGGATTTATTTCGGTGGATGATTGAAGATTCAAGAAAAAGCTATTTCAAAATAAAAATATTGAGCACGTATCAAATATTTCTTCTTTCGAGTTAATTTAAATCAAACTAACCGCTTAATTTGGTGATTACGTGAAATATGAATTACGTGAATGTGTTTGGAAAATTTTCAATCAAAAATAATTCATCCATCGACGAAAGTCTCATGGAATCAGTCGCAATTTTTAAAGCCACCAAATCGAAAGGATCGTCTACTTCTTTTGTTTAATCGATGATAATCGGTTTCCACTCCCCCCAGGAGGCCGTTCCTCCCATCCCATCCCTACAGTTCTGTGAATGCAATCGAGTGAGTGCACGTGGTGGATCGTTCCTCGACGCCCCGTAATCGACATGCCAGAGTAGTTCGGGCCCCGAAGTGCACGTGATGCCTCGTCCCTCTCGAAATGGGTCATCGAATTCCACGCGAGAACGGGGATAATACCGATCGCCTCCTTCGAACGTGCTAGATTCGTAGGGGGATTCGTAAATATTCGGCCACGAATATTCGGCGACGGTGGACCGTTAGACGCCGTTGTGTCCGTGTTGTGTGTGGAGAAACTGGCCACGGACACGAAAAAAAAAAAAAA